TTAAACGAACTAACTAGTCCCTATTTTGTTCCTATTCCATTAATATATCTAATTAGTAGTTTTAATTCATTCCGTGTTCCATCCATGTTGTTATAGAACCTCATTTCTTGTTTACGATGTCATTAAATGTTATCTTACAATGCAGCTTTTGTTTAGTTTATGGTCGTTATCATTTGTATCAAACCGTTTAAGTATTTCAATTAATGTTAACTGCCATTTGTTAAAAAAACAATCGGAGGTTTCAATTTTTAAAACTACAGATTATATTGTTGAATTCGATGCACTTATATCATATTGGTCGGAGTCGACTTTAGTTTTACATATATACGTATCTTAATTTGTATTGCTAACTCATTTATGTCCCGTAGATAATTTTAAAACCTACAAAAAATCATCATGTATTTCCATTTAGTATCATATTCCACGAACGGTGTCTTCAATATAACAGAAACCTCAAAATACAAACTCTCCATATAATGAAAAAGTTTCTTCGGAAAAAGCGTACAATTGAACAGCTGGTAAGTATATTGTAGTAGTATTAAGTATATATGAACTTTTACATTGATCCACTACGGCAAATAGACGACTATGGATGTGCTGGGTGAGCTTAACAAAACGAATATTTGTACGAATATTATATGAGAATACAGGAGGGGAATCAGTGTAGAGAATTCAGAAGCTAAAAGCTAAAGTCAAAACGTAACGCCCGTATTTAATTCCATCCATAGGAAAGGCTGTTCTTATAGCAGTGGGCTATTAATAACGTGATGGTACGAGTTTTTATCTCCTAAAATGTCGTTATATAAAATATAGATCCATATAAAAAGGTTAAATATCATCAACAATAATAAATAAAATAAAAAGAAAAGATATCGTGTTATAGCACCTCGAATTTCGATAAAATCTATCATAGTTATTGTGAGACATGTCCATGTGTTTGTCTGCAAAGCGTAGCAATAATGACAAACCCACAACAAAGATATGTTAAACCCTAGAAAATCTCACGAACCAACTCGCTTACATATCATAAGTAAACGACTCACTTGTTAAAAGATCATTGTTAAACCATTAACAATGAATGAAAGCAATAATCTTTCAATTACAATACAATGGTAATAACAGAAGCCGCAAGGCACATAACTGATCTATCAATTGGATCTTATTCCGTCTCTGTAAGTGTCAATTTTACGAATGTTAGTCTATTGTCGAATCACTTGATCAGACACACTGCTACCACCCTGATGAATAAAAATGAGCTCGGTGACACCAAATTTAACGTTCTGACACCGAATGGCAGTGACTTTACAAAAAAAAAATTTAAATTGACTTAAACAGTTTAACGCTTATAAGAAAACATTTCTTAAAATAATTTATTAATAATCTTCCTTATTTAGTACTTATAATCAACACATAGTATAAAACGAAAGTCGTTGTCCGTCTTTTTATACTTATGTATCTCTTTAAAACTACGCAAAGGATTTTGATTAGATTTTTGGAATAGATAGGGTGATTCAAAAGGCAGTTTTTTTGTGTACAATAGAGGTCCACGCAGGCGAAGCTCCTAGCGGAAAGCTCGGTGATAAGATTTTTGACAATAAAATTAAATGCCCTCTCTTAATAGCAATTAGAGTTAGACCAACTTATTGTTGGTCAAACTTAATTGTTTATAGAGCTTTGTTTGGTCATTAAAATCAAAAGTCAAAGCTCAATATCATGTCCATACATTGAAGTGAGCGAATATGTTTTATAGTCAATAATAACCGCATTGCTTAGGCACGCTAGTGTCCCACAAATAGTACTTGATGCAGTTGATACGTGGCAAAGTTGCCGATACCATAGACTAAACCTGCCTGTTTCTAAGTTTGCAATAAGATTTGATAAGAATCGATGAAGGTTTGGTTTGGATTCCTTGGTAGTTAATAGTGGCCAATACCTTAATGCCGCTTTAATTAAATATTTTGCAATGATGTGCCCCATAAAATTGCAGTGATCGGTAACAACACCTGTCGCTAGGCGTATATTAACGATTTACTTAGTTTCAGAAGAGCAGTCTAATAAATATCCTGTATGCCAATAGGGAATACTTTGCTCCATAATGTGTAACCATTTGAATTTATTTACCCACTTATACAAAATGTGCCGTTGTCAAACTTCAAGGGGTATTAGAGGGCAAAAACTAGAATTTTAAATCCATAAGACTTAAGCGAGTGTCCAAAATCTTACATGTCGATCGTGACTTCGGCATTAGTGATCTGCGTTATATAAAAGTTTAGGGTCGTCCGAAACAATCAAACATCCAACTTTCGCTTTCATATTGTTAGTACATATAGAGTATATATCCAATAGAAACATGAGAAAAAAACTTTTTGTCACAATTCTTCCTAACAATTGAAGTGTTACTATAATAATTTGTATCATGTGTAGAACAAATGTGATAACTCGGCCATGAAATCGAAAAACAATCTTATCACTCTGACTCTTGTTACAGGAGGTTATTCGATAGATTCATGTTTGATCAAAACAACCGGCACGTCAAAAGGTCACGGAATATTCAAAATAAAATAGAGTAGATAACGCTGAAAACAAAACAAACTTGAGATTTGTATAAGTTGCGTTAGTACATCTAATCTCTTATACGCTTTGTGGGGAACTTGTCCAAAATAATCTTTTAAATTATTTGTAGGTTTTAGAAATGTTATTGAAACGATGTCCTCCAGTTATTTATTTGGATCTTTTTCGTGTCAAAACGCATATAGTTTTCTTAACGAACTGCAAAACTTTCTTGATCTTTGACAATCTCTAGCCTTTTTGATACATGTATCTCTCCGATTTTTAATTTGTTAAAATAATATTTAAAAAAATTACACTGCATAAATGTAAGTGGCTTGTAATACTACTTTATGTACTAAAATTAAAAAATAAATAAATCATAAACTAAAACCCAACTACAACCACTTACAATGAGTAGTTTTGAAGTTATAAGGGAATCTTACATTCATACGTGCTGGTCAAAATCATAACTCTTCTTTTCGCATCACCGCCGTAGTTGGATAAAAATCATAGACATAGACGTATTTCGTAAACCATAAAATTGAGTTAACTCTAAAAATGATTTACAACTTATTATATTACATTCAATCATATTTAATTTTGAGTCGATTTGGATGAAGCATTGGCGGCCAATCAAATTAAAATCAATCTTAATCTTTCAAATTGATATTTTTTGTACACGCATATTATGCAAATTACAAGTTTCGGTAAATTTAAGATTGGGAAATCATTTATTTTAGGAAATCCGATCTAACCGTATCCAGAGAGAACGAAGCTTTACCGAAAAATCGGAATACGATAATTGGATTGGTTCGTTTAATTTTTAATATCGGGGCCAAGAAACAAATGACAGCGGACGGTATTCGTTATTCAAATTTCAAACATTTTCGACGATGTTCCAGAATAAAACTTTAGAAAATGGAATTAATATATCGCGTCCAATTACGATAATTAAAATAATTTGAATAGACTAGCCTCTCATTCCAAATTGTTACAACTTTGTCCTACCATACACGACGTAATATTATAGAATTAATTATATAACAGTTCTATAGTATTTTATGTTGCATTGATGCAGTACTTAACGAGTTAGGTCTGTAATTACGAAAATTAAGTAACAATGACAAAAGTAAATCATAGAATTGGTAACTTGCCTTTGCCGAACTTTGGAAGACATATTATGCCATTGCATCTATGGTCAACAGAAAGTTACATTTTCCCTTTAAGAAAATCAATGGTGGAGTGAGTAGCGAGTTTGGGGAGTAACTAAAAAATTAACTGTTTTGTGCTCCACCATGCTTTGTAAACCACATTAAGCCACTGATCCCGGCGGCATCTGCAGTTGATAACAGCCATTAATAAGCGTGGGTTATGACTTGTTTTGCCTAATTGAGTTCATCCATAGGTATTGCCCCTTTTCCATCTCTTTTCTGTAATGCCTGGGTTTTAAAAGTGGGGACTTTAATAAGTTTATGATAATTAAGCCTATTCCATAGGCATGAGTTCGATATATCAAAACGTGTTTGAAAACCGAAATGAGTTAAAATATATCATATGGTATCGATAACCCAAACTATATATACGTTTTCAGATAAAATACCTTAATACAAAACACAAATCTACAAAACCGTATGGTATCTCACAGCGTATGAGCTTTGTAATTGGCCCCTTCTCTTATAAATGCCGTAGTGCAAAAAGAGATGAAGCGAATATCATATCCACTCTCCAGTTACGAACGCTCGAATCTGACAAAATAACCTTTAATTTCATAGCGGTAAGATTTAATTCAGAGTGCTAGCTAAGACAAGACAGAGTATTCGCCCCAACTCTTTTTAACGTAAGCATAGGTCCGTGGAGCAAAAAAAAATAAAGCGAATATCGTATCAACAGTACCTGTTTCGATATATCAAAAAGTGGTTAACAACCATATCTTGATATCGATATCTGAAAACGGTTTTCAAAATCGATATCAAAACTTGTGAAAAAATTGAGAAAATGCCCATATCTACTATGCCACAGCTGGTAAGACTTTTGATAGGCTGATTTTTATGACCTAAATGTTCCCACTATTTAATTATTCCCATTACGCCTGATTAAAATATATTAAGATCCTATTTCAAAACTACCATCTTATAATGAAATCATCGCTGACATTTCTGTAGCATATCGTAAGAACGTCTTAAGTGTCTTGTCACATGTTATTTGTTACTTTAAGTTGTAAATGCTCTAATTTCAACTTCAGATTGTTTGTTCATATGCGGAAACTTGTAATTAGCTCATAAGTGTAATAAATGATTATATGGGGATATAATAATTACATATAATAATAAACAGAATAAAATTTACAAAAAAATAGACAGTTTTTATATAACCAGATATAATGTGACAACATCAGCAGGAATGTCTGAATGAAAATACATGTCAGATAATAAATGCACATTTGTCGGCAGGTTGCACGTTCCCTTCACGCTGGCACGGCCGCTGGTTCCAATCGGGGGTCATCCAGCCCATCATCATCGAGGGCGACCGCCTCTCCAACAAAGGCAAATGCGTCTCATCTGAAGGCGACAAGTTCCTCATAGTTGACGAGTGAGTAGCACAGTCTTTGGACCTGTGAACTTCTTAGCGAAGTTACGATGATATTTTGTTTCATTATACTACTTTGACATGTCTTTCGGTGGATAAACAACACTTAGACGAATATCGCCATAAATAAGATAGTCCTATATCGTATCGAAAATCGGGATCACTCGTCTGGTTTATTATACTTAAAAAAAAATTTTTAATCATTCTATCTGTTGTTGAAAATACTTTGTGTTAGTTTCGAACCAACAATTTTCTCCCTGAACTATATTAATAATTAATGATGAATCGATCCAGTAGTTTCGGAGCCTGAGTATTCGATACTCCTACGAGCTGACTTTATGATGACTTGGCACTCAAAACCTCCTACGCCTACGTTATATATCGTTATACTTTTCAATACCGAGTAGATGAAGCTTCGTTTGCCACTGTTTATAAGGAGCCGGTTTGACAACAATATCCATCATTACCGTTAGAGCTAGTTATTTTTAACAAGCTTAAATCACTACAAAAGACAACTTATTATCTTGGTCAAATAATCACATCTAAAAAATCATATAATATATATCATTTGGGCATTATATCTCTGTACAAAACCATTATTTTTCGGTGTATTATTCGGGTATCCATTCGACTTATTAAAATCAATGGAGGTCTTTAGTTGAAATTAGCCTTAAATAGCGCATATAAGGTTCAATATCGAGTTGAATGGTAGGAGCTAATTTTTTTTATGAAACTGATAAACTGCGTCTTATTTTACAGAAAAGGCTGTTACCGATGTGTTGTGATGCACGAGAAACACAAAAATGTTCTACAGTATAAAGAAAGTAAGTACTTTTCACATATCAAACACCAGTGTCATCATCAGCCTAATAAGGCCTGTGCCCCATTTTTTTTTTGCAAAAAAATTAGCCATGACCCACCACGGGGTTCCAGTGAATTGAGAACAATGGCTTAACATGCCTTCTAAAGCACCGAGAAGATAATAAAGATAGATAATATATTTTTCCTTGTCCATCTTATAACCGTCCCCGCGATACCTATCTATCTAAGTCTTATTAACAAACTTTTACAATCAATACAGATTAGAAGTAAATTAAGACAACTAAAAATAATAATCATCATCATCATCAGCCCTTTATTTCATCCCCACTGCAGGGGCTCAGGCCTTCCTTATAGATAGTTAAGGAGCATGGGCCATGACCCTCCACGCTGGCCCAATGCGGATTGGCGGGTATTAACGACTGCAAATGCAGCCGGTACCAACGGCTTAACGTGCCTTCCGAAGCACGGAGTAGCTCGAGATAATATTTTTTTTCTCACTCATCCCGTAACCGACCCTTGCGAAGGTTGCTTAACGACAACGATCGCGTGCCGCGGCGCTTATCCACTACGCCACCGAGCTAAAACATAATATTGTTACACTATTCCTTAAACACCGATAGCAAAAACATAACCTTCGATATGAAGAAACATAGCATATAAGCGTATATTTTATCATGGTGCGAACACGCACGCCCGACATGGCATATTAAATTTATGGTTTTTCTCGCAGAGAATTTTCACACGACTTTGTGTAGTGCCGCAATAATGCCATGTTGATAATAAATTGGTTCTAAAACCCTGCACTTGACAGTACATTATCTAAATTAAACTGGAAGCTTCGGGAAATGAAACTGTTAATAAACTAAGTTGTATCATTGAGGCTCTATGGATATTTCGTGAAATTTTAAGCATTGTCAGTTTAAAGGCATAGTCTTACTTCATTTATTTTGATCTAACCTTACCTAAACGAGGAACTCAATAGCACGGTGGTATGCGTGTTCGGTCTGCGATGCGGAAGTTAAGCAACTTTCGCAATGACCGGACATAGGATGGGTGACCTTGTGAGCTCGTCCTCGCTTCTGAAGGCACGTTGAGCCGTTAGTCCCGGCTGCATTGCAATATCCACCAATCAAAATCATGTCCCAATCTCCCTATTTGATGCGGATATGGTTCCATTTATAGGCAAGGTTTGTGCTACAGCAATTAGGATATTTAGTAGTAAAGGGTAGCTCGGTGGAGTAGTAGATAAGCGTGGCGGCCCGCGAACGTTTTTGTTAAATAATTTTCGCAAGGGTCGCTCACGAGATGGGAGACCAAAATATTATTGTTTCGAGCTACTTTGTGCTTCTGAAGACACATTGAACTGTTGGTCCCGGCTGCATTTACAGTAATTAATACCCTCCAATATGCATTAGGCCAGTGTGGAGGGTCATAAACTAACCTCCTTAACTATCCATAAAGAAGGCCGAAGCTCCTGGAATAAGGACGTAACAGGGCTGTATAATTATGTACCTAACCTTAATCTCTAATTCAGCGATAGTTTATAAGCTAAAACTGACCATAGCAACTATATACGAAAATTAAGAATACGCGAATGATATACTCGTACATACCTATATCAGAATATGTTGTCTTGTCGCTAGCCAATTAGTTAAAATAACCGTGAAATTTTTGTGAAATTATAATTCCATTGAATTACTTGTAGGCAACTTCATTATATATTACTTTTAAATAACACTGGCAACTTATTTATTAAGAAAAATACAGAATAATTAAAAATACAACTCAGAAGTCCTTGGAACGCCATTTTGTAAACAAAGCTAAACTAGAGTCGAGCAGATATACTAAATGAATGTTACAGAGACTTTTAAAGCGGCCCTTGTATCTAGAAAACTGTAGCTATAACTGCTGTGCCATGATTTCCAGCTGACCCAGCTTTTTCAGGACTTCATGCATCGAGGACTGCCTCTCGCGAGTCAGTCTGCAACTTCCCTTCGGTTCGGTCAATTGCATCCACAAACTAATGATCCAGTATAAATTTAGGGCTAAATATATATTTTTTAACTTTATATCCTCGACATAACAGGTCGTTTTAATCAGTTAGATGTGAACTACAAACAACCAAAATTTTGCCAAATTTCTGCATGACATGATATGAAACAACTCTTGTTCCTTTGTCAGTTTATCAAAGCTTTTCCTTAATGCAAATTTATTTTTCCAGCTTTTTGCTACCGAAGAGATGCGTTGCCTCACCTGTGTACACTCATCACCGGCGATGCCCTCCTGTACTCCATGTTCAGGGAGAACGCTGACTCCGTGGCCTGCCCTCTCAAGGGGCCATTCTCCTTCACTTACAACAGGTATATAGCTCTCATTGTTATTATAGAAGTTAACAGGTTGCAGGTAAAATAATTGATAACAAATAAATACTGGTGATGTATGGCGAATTTAAGTTAACGCCTTCACTAGTGAGCATTTTAAGAATCTGTATGATGAGTTATAGTTCTTGGTAGTTATCGCTAGGGGCGCTGTTCCAGATTCCATAATAAAACCTTAACACGCTCACCATCGACCGTCAACGTAAACGTCAGAAAAACTTATACTAAGCCCTCAGATGTCATATTAATTCATACGAATTAATTCCCACGTACTGTATTTTTGTATTATAGTAATTCTATGATAGAATTACACCTCTTTTACCAGTTCGTAGTGAAAACTCTAAAGTTTATGAGAACAAACAGTGTTAAACGACTTGCCAAATTGTCGTAACAAAATAACTCATTAAACGACACACGGAGAGCAGCAGACGTCACGCGAAATAAACTCGAAAGAGTCGCCCGGCGATAGATAAAGCTCACGTCACACAGCCAACCAGCTATGGGACCTGTCTAATTACTTTCACTGAAAATCGTCAATGTTTCACCCAAATTAGCAACAGTTAGAACAACTTTCCTAGCTCTAACGAATATCGCCGTAACAAATATGTTGGTTGATGAAATCACGAGTTTATAATACAAGCTTTCTGCCAGTGGCTTCGCCCGCATGGACCTGTTTATGAAAACCTTCCTTTTAATTCACTCTATCTATACAAAAAACCGCATCAAAATCCGTTATTTAGTTTTTAATATTTATGTATACTTATGTACAGACAAACGTTTTGTTTCGTATATTTTATACAACTTAAATTTTATTTTTTGGTCAATTGGTTACCACACAAGTGCTGCATAATTCTTTCATCTACAAAGTGACTCATAAATTTATAAATATTTCGTATAAAAAAAAGTGTTTTTTCTATTAATAAAATTTTACAAATTTCCGTATTGGCTGTGACAGTACCCTGAAAAACCGATGTAGTATTCTGAGTTTTATTTACAGCTTAATAAGATATTCCTTTTTTAAACAATACCTATGAATTTTTTTGCTATTTTGAGTGAACACGGTTTCCTTAAAAAATCGGTTCACTATTACGAGATATCGGATATCGAGGAACATAAATAATTTGTTGAAAAGGCAGACAGCGGTTACTATCAGTGGCGTAGGGCTGCTACCTCATTATTCGCGCGATTCCCGAGATTTAAATAGTAAGAAAAAGCTAATTAGATGTAATTGTCACAGTTATGTGAATTAGACAGTCACTATCGATAAATGATTTCATTATTAATGTGTCTAAGTCATCAATGACATTTCATAGATTAATGTACGATACGTTTTTAATTAATAAAGAAACTGCAATAAGTACATGCTTGCGGAGCCAACATGAATACAAGTAGATGTCAATTATTATTATCTACCCATTAAGGAATCTAATTGTATCTAGGCATATTAAGGCGTATAAAGGTAAAGAGAAAATGAGACATAAAATCTTTAGGTCAAGCAATGTGACAGATAAATAAGGATGATTACGAGTCATTCATCATTACATTTTTTTAACAATCCCAACGCTCCGATACTAAAGGACTCCCATACTTATTAGAAACTTATGACGGGAGAGTATTTTTTATTTCAGTGGTAATTTTTGTATTTTTATCGAGAGTTTTCTATTGAGAAAATTCGCATTTTCATCCAATAAATGTGAGAAAAAACCAAAACCCAATACCAGAATCGCTGGTTATTTAGCGACTTTTGAGAAATTATTTTTCGACCATGAAGGGAGACACATATTAATAAATAATAATCATTAATTTATGGGGCATTTTTAAATGTTCGAAGTAATATTTAATAAAACTTTATCGTTTCAATTTTACTGAACGTAATGTTAAGATTTGCTCATAATATCAAAAAATCCATATGTAATATTTCATGCATTATACCTTGTTTTAATAACTTATAAAGGTACAGTAACACAAAAAAATCATATGTAGTTACCATTTCAAACAACATAGATTTCTCAAAGATGTAAATTGAGAAAAACCATCATTACATCCCTTATCTCCAACAAACTCATGGTTATTCAGTGCGTTAATTACAAAAGTGGATGAATATAATTAATCACCACTTGACATCCCTAATGGAGGATGAAGTGACGAGTGACGTCACAAGACTTAATTAGTGTCCGACGACCGTCCGCCCTGTGTCGGCTGTTAATACCAAGTCGAATTAGTTTCGACGAATCGAAGCTTTTTAATTGATAGTCAAATTATAATTTATCAAAACATAAGTAGGTTTATCTATTATCGATTTATTGGATAAAAAAATAAATATAAAACAACTTTTCGATGTATTTATTTAGTTGTCACATTATTCACTTTGTTATGTTTTTCGCGTATCTGAAAATATAAGAAATTTTATAAACAACACACGGTGAACTCAGTTTAATAATAATTTTAATTAATATTACCTGTTTTCCCGCGACTTTGTAAATCAAATCTTTTCTCTTTATAATATTATTATGAATTATTTACCTTTATACTGCTTCTATACAGATATTATTAAAAGGAAAGGCTCTATTGATTGTTTGTTTACATGGAATGGGCTCTGAAATGGCTGGATTGATTTTGAAAATTCTCACACCTTTGAAGCTACATCATACGTGGGTAACTTTTAAGCTATAATTGAATAAGAAATTTTTTTTTTTTTTTAATTTTGAGTTGTAAATTGGTGGTGGTTCTATTTAAGATATAATTTTTGGCGCACATCTTACCTATGACTTACATAAAATTTAGAAATCAAAAACGAGAAAATGTGGTAACATCATTTGTGGAGGTCTGTAATTTTCCCTTCATTAAATAGTTTTCAATTATGTAATTGCTTTGGAAATCTTTGGGGGAGGCCTATGCCCAGCAGTGGGCGTCTCTCGGCTGAAGTGATGATGATGATGATGATGATGTAATACAAACAGCCCTCGAAATTAAAATAAAATAACTTACTGCCCAGCCCAACCCTTATCGCAATGTACTTACATACGGTAAAGCCTGCTTCTATTAAATAAATTGTTTTATTTTCCAGGGGCCACGGTGACTGCAAAAGTCCAGTATCCTCCATCGAGAGCTGCACAGAAGACTCGCGGCTACTGCTCAACTACCAGGCCTGCCCCGATGTCCACGGATCGGAAAGCACAGGTAAATACGCGCTTTAAGAACTTTCACAATGGCCTGTCATAGGATGGGTAACCAAAAATTTATTATCTCAAGCTCCTCCGTGCTTCGGAAGGCACGTTAAGCCATCGGTCCCGGCTGCATCTGCAGTTGTTAATACTCACCAATCTGCATTGGGCCATGGTGGGTCCTATTCTGCCTAATCGATTTTATATGATACAATCCAAAGGGTAGGTCTGAGCCACAACAGTGGATAATATCCTGATACAGACTGATGATGGTGATAGGACTATTCCATTCATTTAGTTTTTCATTAATTACCTTAATGAAGGTCAGTGTCCTTGGTGGCTTTGCAAAAGAGCATTTTTAACGCACGTCGTTCCACGCCCTATATAAGCCGAATACGACTGAATGTGTCGGAACACTTGATTTCATTTGAATATGAAAAAAATCGGCCGAGTGACAAATATTATAAATTTTCTTATAAACCATTAATGAAGAACTATTTTGCTATATCTTCACGCCGTATCACTAATGCATAATTTGCGTAATTTAAAATATATACAAATAGTATAATATCACACTAAATAGCTTGCGAATCTTTTTTAATTTTCTTATTAATTCCTCATAAGTACCTATATAAATCCACTTTCGGAGAAAATCAGACGTCACGGCCGGACTGACATATACAACCGAGTGATCCGATGAGGGTTCCTTTTTTTCCTTTTAAACTGCGAGTATAAAATTTTATGAAAAGAAAAATTAATTTCTTAGAAAACCAATGTTCACGTTACTACAGCTCGCTATAAATGATCCGAAGCTCTTATGTTTAAACGAAAAACAAAATATGTTATTTTCTTAAAACACAACGTCTTCAGAAAATTGCTCGCTAATAAAATAGGCAATCTTCCAAGATGGTAGCACTCTCGGGATCCTTATTAAACACAAATTCAAAGGTTTCGATAAAAATAATATCCTAACGGCTATTAGCGAATGAAAAGTCTATAAGAAAATTGTTTGAAGACTTGAAAATATTTGCGTACAATCAAGTACCTACAGATAGAGTTCCATGCAGAGGTTAAGCATGTGTCGGGTTCGATGCTTAGGCAAATGAATAAAAGGCTGACTAAGCTTGAAAATTTGATTTATTAGAGGGTAATAAGAAATACCCGTTTCTGGGTATTCCGTAATAGATAAAACTTATTAAATTTCACGAAAACTTTATTGTAAACTTAAAGTAGCTCGGTGGCGTAGAGGACAAGCGCCACGGCCCGCGATCGTTGTTGTTAAGCAACTCTTGCAAGGGTCGGTCACGGGTTGGGTGACCAAAAAATATTATCTCAAACTACTTCGTGCTTCAGAAGGCACGTTAAGCCGTTGGTCCCGGCTGCATTTGCAGGCGTTAATACCCTCCAATCCGCATTGCGCCAGCGTGGAGAATCATGGCCCTCCTCCATCCTCCTTAACCATCCATAAGGAAGGCCTGAGGCCCTACAGTGGGGACGTAAAAAGGGCTGATGATGATGATGATGAAATTTATTATTGTTAGATTTATATGATGCATATTGGATTAGTCAAAATTTCAAATTACGAAAGGTGAATAATAAAGAGAATTGATGTTGAAGATCAAAGACAAAAAGTTTGTATGCGGATACCTAGGACGAAATAAACGATGGTACGACGTACCGTTACAAGCAACTTTCACAAAGGCTTGTCATAGGATGGATGACTAAAATTTTATTATCTTATTTCCTTTCATCTCTTTATTTGCTGTTTTTTGGGATAGAATATAGGCAATGTTCACAGTATAAGAGGTCCCGTATGAGAAAAAAAAACCGGCCCAGTAGTTTCAGAACCAAACAATCAAAACAAATATTATAATAGACTACAAAAATAAATTTGATAAAAAACATTTACAATAAATTAAATGAACATTCAGAGGTTAAAAACGCAAAAGCTCGACATTAAATTAATACTTTCATCATTCCTTACCTCCATACCTTCAGTGGAAGAGCTGGAGTGCCTGGCGACGTGGAAGGAGGGTAGCCTGCGATTCCTGGTCGGGAAACTACACCACAACCACGCCACTAGCAACGAGGACCGTTACCGGTGTTTCGTCTACGAGAAGACAAATGGTATTGGTAAGACTTAGCACTTTTAGTTCAGCTTGATAATTATAAAATTTCTTGCATAGCCTTTTGATGATTTTATTTGGTTTATAACCAACAGTTTATTAATTACTTTTGATCTTGTTTACACCACATCTTCATCTTTATAAAATTAAACAAAAAACTGCCCATTTACTCTCAAATGCAATAGCGATCAATTGACATTGTATTTGTGCCGTGTCGTAGGTACTCTTGATTGGTTACACTAGCGCCAGAGTATGCTAGTGAATCAATCAAGAGCACAATTGCAATAACCACCGGTCGCGATTGCGTTCTAGAGTAAGGATGAAGTTTTATATTTATGTTTTATCCATACAATAAATAAACCGTTTTTATCTATGATTAGAGTTGTAGCGAGAGTTTTACCCGGTCGCTCCCCAGGTGTAATGCTACCGTAATCCTTTACATAGGTACTGTAAAATTAAGATATTTGTGTGCACCGCCCGCAAATAAACAAACGGCAAATCTCTCACCCAACAGCAAAACTTTATTTCGTTTCTCCACGGAGCATACTCGGGTGTTGCAAAATACGTGCGCCACCTATTTTGCAGATGGCGGCATTGAAAGAATAGACAATTTAGAAAATTGTTAAATATCATATTCATTTCTATTTTCAATATTGATTGATGGATTTGTTCCATGGATTATTTATGTATCATTGAATGTTTTAAGAAAGCATTAACATTCAAAATCTTTAAAACAATATATTTCAGTTATTCAATATTTTACAGAGGTTATTTTTGTAAACTTTCGGGATTGACATTGTTCGCGCTGGTTCGAGAAGGGGATGAGAAATGGGAATGGAAACTCACCAATATAATTTTAATAACTGTCCTTCGATATAATATGGTTGGCGAGTCCACGCCGATCAGCGGTTTTCACTTGCACTTGAGTTTTTTGTGGCCACAAACACAACACCTTTATTTGTTACACATGTATAATAGATACTTCACAGGTTTATATATGAGTTCCGAGGCAGTAATGTCGCCTATATTAATTTTCAATTCGGAGCACTCGCGAAAATCTTCTATGTCGAATGCATCCAAAACCGGAACCGACTTTTTCTATCAGCGCGCCCTTGCGGCGAACGTATTTGGCGAGTGACAAGGACGGAGATATGGGAGGGGCAAGGAAAGAAAAGGACAGGATGTCCTTCAACGGAAGAACCGCACAAAATACTAATTATTTAAATTTATTATTTTATAATATTGATCAATTTCACATGTCTCTTTATTAATGAATATAAAAACCATGACCATAGTAAATGGCGTAAACATGCCCCCCAGCTTGACAAAACCCAGGTTTGTCAAAACTAATAATATATAAGTAATAATGTATGTATCTCTAAGTTAAGCAAAATAAACTAATTTTATATATTTATTATATTATTAACTAGTTATATGTGTGGACTGTATAATAATTTATTGAGTTGGAAGTGGATATATCTTTACGACAGGACGGCGATAGACACCAGACTTTGTACGAACATTCACGACTCGCACTATCCCATCTTTGCCAGGAAATACCCGTTCTATTATGCCTAATGGCCAATCTAAAGGAGAACCATTCTCTGATTGAAGTAATACAACAGTACCTTCTTTGATTAGTGAAGTATCTTTAGTCCATTTATTACGACTTTGTAAAGTATTTAAATATTCTAAACTCCACCGTTTCCAAAATGATTGCAGTAGGCTATCGAGCATACGCTTTCTGTCAGTAATATTCACATTTTCAGAAACAGGTCCTGTAGGAAAGGATCTTAATGGAGTCAGAGTTAAGAAATGTGCGGGTGTCAACGCTAGTGGCTCAGATGGGTCGGAGCTTAATACAGATAATGGCCGTGTGTTTAATACCGCCTCGATCTGAGTCAAAAGAGTAGACATCTCTTCGAAAGTAAGCAGTCGTGTACCAACTACCTTATTAAGATGTGATTTAACACTTCTTATATTGCCCTCCCAAATTCCACCAAAATGAGGTGAGGAGGGTGGATTAAATTTCCAAATTATTGAGTTATTTATTAATTCAAAGTTAAGTTTCTCATTATAGTCTTTTGAAGAAACTAACTTATATATTTCATCCAGATACGATTTCGCACCAATAAAATTGGTACCGCAGTCTGTATAAACAAATTTAATAGGTCCGCGCCGTGATATAAACCGCCTAAAAGAGTTTAAAAAAGACTCTGTACTCAAGTCGCAAGATAATTCAACGTGTACCGCCTTAGTTACAAGGCAAACGAAAAAGCAAATATACGCCTTTTGACTTCGTACGCCGCGCCTACGATAAGGTATAATTTGTAAGGGTCCAGCGTAATCTATACCGGTATGATAGAATGCCTTAGCTTGTTGCACTCGGCATGCTGGTAAATCAGCCATCAACGGAAACTCATTTTTCGGATTAACCTTGAAACAAATGTTACAATTTCGTATTCGTTTACGAACAATATTTCGTGCAGACAAAATCCAAAACCTTTGACGCAGTAATGACATCAATAATTGGGGTCCGGTATGTAAATATTTATTATGGTAATAATCAATAATTAAATTAACAATATGATCACGCGAGGGCAACAATATTGGATGTTGACTGTCATAAGGCAAGTCAGCGTTATTCAAACGGCCGCCAACTCGAAACAAACCATCACTAACAAAAGCCTTTAATTTTAGAAAAGCCGGTGATAAAGGTTTATTGGAATTAAATTTATCAAATTCAGTACTAAAATAAGCAAGTTGTAAATCTTTAAGAACTAATGATTCGGCCACTTCAAAGTGAGATGGATCGAATATTTTAGGGAGTTTTTTAATAAATCTCAATATATAAATTACGACGCGAAGCAATTTCGGCCATGAAGAAATTCTTAAAGCGAGCTTACATAACATAGGAGGCTCTTTTTCAGCTACAGAAACTAAAACGCTAGCTTTCTGTTCCGGGACGTCACCAATCGTGGCTACGTCTAGTTTAGAAATCGGCCATTGTGCACTAGGCAAACGTGCGAAACTAGGGCCGGGAAACCAAAGTGGATGATCGCTTAACTGTGCAGGTGTTAAACCACGCGAAAGACAGTCCGCTGGATTTTCTTTACCCGGGATAAAATAAAAATTACTAGGATCCAATAACTCCTGAATTTTGGCAACCCTGTTCGCCACAAAAGTCTGCCAACGAGAAGAAGGCGCCTCAATCCAGGCTAATGCAACCTGACTATCAGTAAATGCAAAAATATTATTTATTTTTATACGTTCGGAATACGTATCAATGACAATCCGCATTAATTTTGCCAAAATTAAGTTACCACAAAGCTCCAAATGAGCCAACGTAACATTACGCACTGGCGCTACACGCGACTTCGCACATATTAAATTAATTAAATATTTATTTTCACCAGGAAAATATATATGTAGGTATACAACTGCCCCATACGCCTTTTCGGAAGCATCGGCGAATCCGATCACGGATACTAAGCACTCAGGGTTGTAACCAACGTATCGCGGTATTTTAATATACCCTAATAAAGGTAATTCCAATTCAATTTGACTCCACAGTGATATTATATGCTGTGGTGGTTTTTCATCCCAATCAATCTGATCGGTCCATAACGAACGGACAATTAATTTCGCTAATAATGTAACTGGGGCAACGAATCCCATAATGTCCCATAAACGGGCAATAGTAGAAAGAATGTTACGTTTAGTGCATTCACACTTACGTTCGTTCACAGTGAACATAAATATGTCTTCACCTGGTAGCCAGCGAAGCCCTAGAATTTTAAAAGAATCATCAGGGCCGAATTCAATATCGGCGGAAACACGAGCGTCTGAAGGTATATTTTTCATTACTTCGGAAGAATTACTAGAAAACTTTACAAGATCAAACCCCCCAGCATGGAACATTTCCATTAGCTGTTGTGACAGCTCGATACCCATCGAAGGAGAACTACAAGACGTAACCAGATCGTCCATGTAGATATCGCGTTCAGCAACAGAAGCCGCGACTTGAAAATTCGAACCTTCGTCTTTAATCAATTGACGGACCGTTCGAATAGCAAGATAAGGACTCGCACATAAACCGAATGGAACTCTAGTCATCTGATATAATTGAAGCGAATGACTGCGATCATCGCGAAATAATACCATTTGGAATCGCCAATCATCAGGTTGTACCCATATTTGTAAATACATCTGTCTAATATCAGCGCTAATGGCTACAGGAAATAATCTAAAATTCAACATTATTTTAAACAAATCATTTTGTAAGTTGGGACCAACGTGTAATAAATCATTAAGTGACAACCCTGACGACGTTTTCATACTTGCGTCCAAGACTACGCGCAGTTTAGTTGTACTTTTGTCGGGCCGTATGACAGCATGATGCGGAATAACGTAATAAGAATCAAACTTTAAGTCACCGTTGAACGGAACCAAGTATCCTTTTTTCAAATAATCCAAAAAGACCTCATTGTATTGGTGGCGAATATCATCATTAGACGCTAATCTCCGCTCCAACGATAAAAACCTACGCACGGCTAATTGTAGTGAATCACCTAATTTAAAGGGATCCTTTTTAAACGGTAGCGAAACGATGTACCGACCGCTCTGATCACGTAACGTAGTCTGAGAATAAAATTCGTCGCAATCCCTTTCATCTGAACTTAGCAAGTTGGCTGTAGGCACGTCCTCTAACTCAAAAAACCGATTTATCGAATCTTTTAACGAAAAGTTATAATCTAATGTGCAATAAGTGTGCACGTCTGACTCAGTATTAAATACCGGGGCTTGACCGTAAACAATAAATCCAAGCGAAGTTTCTATAGCTACGGGTTCATTCAATTCGCGAGCTATAACATTCGGTCGTACAATACGAGCGAAAATGTCCGAACCGACTATCAAGTCGATCGCGCCAGATTCCGAATAAGTCGGATCTGCTAACGGAATGTCCTTCAAATAATCCAAACATTCGTGATCTATCTTCACGGAAGGTAACTCACTTGTAATACGGTGAGCCACTAACGGTTTAATAGAAAAACAAACAGAATTGTCCAAAGTAGAACATAATGTTAAGCAAGTAAACCCTTCAATAGGATTATTCATATTACCTACTCCGCATACGTATTTAGTTGGAGAAGGATGTAATTTTAAATTCAATTTTTTACAACAATTTAAAGTAATTAAATCTCGCTGTGATGCACTATCAACTAAAACGCGAACGCCGTGAATATTACCGCAATCGTCTACAACATTGCATCGCGCAGTACCTAAAAGCACCGTTCGCATGCGCGAGTCCAAGTCGCTCCCGCTACGCGCGGCAGTGGCGCCGACGACGGAATTTTGTTGCAACATCGTCGTGCATAACGATACCGAGCGCGAATCGCGCGCTGTCGATGTATTGTTCAACGCGGGTGGTTGAAGTAAAACAGCTGTTTTCGTAGTACCTACGTTATTCGGGCGTTGAACTTGCGTGTCAGTATTGGTGATAAAATGCAATAAAGTATGATGACTACGTGAACATTGAGCACAGGTAGCCTTTGAATTACATTGGCGTATCAAATGTGACGGGCTAAGACAATTCACACAAGCTTTATTTAATTTAATAATATTAAAACGTTCCGAAGGCGTCAAGGAAATAAATTTTTTACAGAACCGCAACTGAGAATGATCTTTGTTACCACAACATAAGCAAGCATTTTGTTCGTTAACAACAAACATCTTATTATTTTTATCATATGTATTAAAAGACCGTGAAGTTAAATTTCGACTATTTTTTGAAACAGATTGCAATTTTGAAGTAGATGGTTTTGCTTCTACTGTATTATTCACGCGTTGCAAAATATGTGAATGGTTCCGTACAAAATTAATAAATTGGGAACAAGTAGGTAGCTTATCAGAGTTGCTGTGTTGTATTTCAAATGATTTTAAAATATCTAAATTCAGCTTTTTCGATCCAAGGTGTATAAAAATGAAGTCTTCTAAACTATCCATATTAAGTTGTTTTAATGAGTTTACTAATGATGAATACTGGTCAATGAAGTCCGCTAAAGTATTGGAACAGTCATCTTTAACTGAAGTTAAGTTCATTAATTTATCAAGATAAGTCGCGGCTAAGACGCGTTTATCGTTGTATTTATTTACTAATGTATTCCACAACACAGAATAGTTCTCTGAAGTAGGCATAAATCCCTGACAAATAGTTTGTGCTTTTCCTGTCAATTTACCTAATAAATATTGAATCTTTTCGTAATCATTTAAAGTGTTATTATCATGAATAGTATTTTTAAATGTTTCATAAAATATAGGCCAGTTCTCTAACTCGCCGTTAAAAGAAACCAACTCAAGCCTCGGTAATTTCGGGCCTTGTTTAACCGGAGACAGTATTTTCGCCTCGCAGGTATTAGAAGGTGATGATAACTGTGAGTATTTGAATTTAACTCGCGCATAAAGATCTTCAAAAGCAAGCATGGATTCGTAATTGGGATCTCCAGCGTCCGCCTTTGACGACAATAATTCATTACGTTCGTCTAATGTTCGTAAAAAGTCCGATCGAATAATGTCGATCGTACTCGCAGTAGATAAAAATGTATCCACGCGATCAGGAGAGTCTAAGGTAGACATATTATCATAAATACGTTGCATTCGAGCAAAAATGGTATTCATTTTAATTTCTAATCTACGCAAAGATCTGAAAAATTGACTTTGATATTTAGGGTCGGCTTCAGTAGCCATGGTGAAGTGTAAATAATTATTTATTGACCGATGACAATTATAATAGGAACAGAGACAAGTGAAACCGCTGCAATATTATTTTGAACAAACAAAATGGCGTCTGTTGAAATAAACGTGTAATGAATTTACAAAACTATCCGTGGCCGAAGTGACCAAATAATTATGTTCGCGCTGGTTCGAGAAGGGGATGAGAAATGGGAATGGAAACTCACCAATATAATTTTAATAACTGTCCTTCGATATAATATGGTTGGCGAGTCCACGCCGATCAGCGGTTTTCACTTGCACTTGAGTTTTTTGTGGCCACAAACACAACACCTTTATTTGTTACACATGTATAATAGATACTTCACAGGTTTATATATGAGTTCCGAGGCAGTAATGTCGCCTATATTAATTTTCAATTCGGAGCACTCGCGAAAATCTTCTATGTCGAATGCATCCAAAACCGGAACCGACTTTTTCTATCAGCGCGCCCTTGCGGCGAACGTATTTGGCGAGTGACAAGGACGGAGATATGGGAGGGGCAAGGAAAGAAAAGGACAGGATGTCCTTCAACGGAAGAACCGCACAAAATACTAATTATTTAAATTTATTATTTTATAATATTGATCAATTTCACATGTCTCTTTATTAATGAATATAAAAACCATGACCATAGTAAATGGCGTAAACAGACATTTTTGATTTAGTTTATAGCTTGTACCTATTTTATTTATATTTAGATATGTCTTCTTGCGTACCTAGATTATTTTGCATACAAGTTAATTTACGTTACTTTAAAAACCTATTAATTGAGAGAATAAACAGGCTTATTTAAGAGCACTTTTGAATTGTCTAAAATATTTATCTGTTCCTCAAAGGCCTATAAAAAGTTCTTTACAAAAAAGTTCTTAAGTAATCAAATCAATGTTGCAGAATGGTGTACAAATCTTAAATTTCATACTGTTTTTTTTTTTTTCAAAGTTCTGGGTTGGTATTTAACTACCATCGGATAAAAATATGATGAGACTTAAGACACAGCTTAAGATATTAAACGCCATATATTTTCCGCTATTTTCCGTTAATAACTATTTTCCGAACCTAATCAAACATCCTATTTGTTGTATTTGGTTACAGCCTCAGGCAATGGCGCCAAAGAAGGTCCCAACAACACCGGCGGGGTCGAGTACAGGGTGGCTCAGTCTGGTGACGCCACGTGTAATGGACTGTTCAGTGCAACAGAAGGATCTAGAACAATGGCCCTGAAGAGAGGTATTTAATTCTTTAGACCTTTTAGCGAGCAATATGCAAATGAAATTCGTATCGTATAACTTAATTTTTTTCTTAAAAACATATATCTGCGCTTTAAAGCATTTTTTCACGTAAAATTCGTACTATCTGACTGTCGTTTTATGCTAATTATGAAATATGTAAATCTATACAAATACGGGTCACCAATGCTGTAAGTTACGATTTAGTCAAGCGTGTATGTATACAAATTATTAAGAGCTGTAGATTTCGTTAATGAATAAAAAAATAAATAAATTTCCTATAATTTTATTGGAAAATTTTGTGTATTGATTTACGATGTGGTGATGGATTTCCGAACGTTTATTTTCGTCTTTTTTGTGCTTCAAATGGCCTTTATTATCACTTTTATGTACCAGATAACTTTGATTTAATATCGTTATAGAACATATCTTTTACAGAGAGGGAAAAGACGTGAATAGGATTTGCCGTAATCTGACAGTAAAGTTTTCCAAATTATACTAATTGGTGATCATTCATTAAAGAAATCGCTTTATTGCAGTGTCAGTCCGTTTCAACTGTCAGTTTCCATCATGGATGACGTTCTCGCACACGTGGCATACTTTGGACTTCAGCAGCAACTACACATTCTACCAGCGGAACGCGACACTCCGCATCACGAACCAGACCGGAGCGGATATCAAAGTGTACTGCGTTAATGTGAAGGCGAGCTCGCCCAGCGGCAACTCTGTTGCACTAGTCGCACACTGGCAACACCACTGGTGAGCTTATATCCGTATAACTTTCAATAAGTCAATAGGCATCAATTGCAGCCCGAGATATTTTGTTCGATGCAATTGATGCTTACACCTGAGCTAAGTACTCTTACTTTACATCTCGATTGTAAGGTAAGTAGAAGAAACCGGCATTACAAAAATAAAACATTTTATTATTTAAAATATCTCTCTTTCTTGAAGTTTCAGGCAAAATATTGTTAATTGCTGCTTCAGCTTCCATTTTCATTGAATCGGGAGTGCAGCATATCTTCATCACTTGAAGAACTCATATACTTATTTTCAATTAGCACGTGATTATAAAAAAAAACAAACAATATTAAAAGTAAAAGTTTTCTATTCTCGCTTTTTTTTCACTATATGGAACCAAGTAAAGATTTTTTTTTCAACAACTAAATTGAGCTTCGCCGTTCGATATTTAAAATTGACGGCTATTATACTCGTACGACGACAAAGTTGAATAGCGAAGAAGTCATTTGGCTGAATGCATGATGTCTATTACCTGTATGATGGTTAGATGTACGCGAACTTTTTGAAAGAGTGACGTGTTTTTTTTTAATTACTTATCGCCCTAGGGTTTCTCTAGTTACATTATTACCCCTCGAGCGACCCACTTATCGAATATGAGAGATGTAAAGTTATTAATCTAATTAATTATTATTCTTATACCTTAGATTTTTTTATTATCTGACTGACGGTCTAATTAGAATTTGTTGTTTTTTACCCATTTCCTTCCCTATTTTTCCTATTCGTACTTACCTATTGCAATTTATTTAAAATTTAATAAATTATGATGCTAAACCGGCTTATCTTTATGTGAAATAGGCATAGGCCGGTTTATCAGTAAAGGCTATTATAAAGTTGATGATTATTTTAAGTACCGCAATGCATGGAATTAATAGCCTTCGCTTTGTCTATAACGTCAAATTATATGTATTGTGATAATACTATTTTGGTAATGACATAATTTATGTAAATATCATTACTTATGATGAAGAGCTGGTAAGTTTCTTTCGCTTGTTCTTGTCAGCTAAAAGACGTCCTGAACAAGTGGCAGGGAAAAAAAAATTTTTGGACGATTCAAAAGTGCTTGTAATAAGCATACTTGAATAAAGATATTTTTCAATGCAGTTGCTCATAAAGCGCTATTTTTTTAATCCATTGTAAACACCGAAAGTGAGTCTTTAAACACATGTTAAATAAAAATATACTGAAATCTTCTACTGCACACGTGCTTAAAAGTACTTTTTAATTTTTTTTTTTTTTGGCCGAATACCAAAGATATTTAATAAAAATTGATGAAAATATGTCAAACTTTAGAGGCAAAAGTATTTCAAGGAGCCTAGAATGAATATTTTCAAATAAAAATGTATGACACGAAAACATGTTCAAATATCACGTTTAATTTTAACAAATAATTTTACTTTAAATACATATTATGTTTATTAACCTATATATTTGTTTTATATCCTCGCAAAAAGCATTGAAAAATGTTGTAAAAAAACTTGAGCGTAAAAGGTTTTTCGAATTCGTGCCAATGTGATATTTGAACATGTTTTCGTGTCATACATTTTTATTTGAAAATATTCGTTCTAGGCTCCTTGAAATACTTTCGCCTCTAAAGTTTGACATATTACCATCAATGTTTTTTAAGTTTTTTTGGTGTTCGGCAAAAAAAAATTAAAATAATACTTTTAAGCACGTGTGTGCAGTAAAGGATTTCGGTACATTTTTATTTAACACGTGTTTAAAGACTCACTTTCGTTGTTTACAATGGATTCAAAAAAATAGCGCTTTATGAGCAACTGCATTGAAAATAAGTATAAATTTGTGTTGCGCAGTGTGTCGCGCTACGTGTGCGTGGTGCTGTACCGGCGCGACTCGCACATCGCGGAGCTGCAGCGCGGCGCGCCCACCGCCCGCCCCGACGACGCCTGCTCGCCGCACCACTTCAACGCCGTCAGCGCGCCCTACGTCACGCTAGTCGGTACGTACCGGTGCCCGTACCACTGTGGACGGGGAGATCAACTATCCTATAACTAAGGGCCGGGTGATCCCTAACCTCTTTTTAATTGGAGAGAACTGATCTAAACGTTTCATCGACCTGCACGAGGCTGACTGAACCGGGGCTGTTTGACCAGTGTTTGCCACCTTGCAACGGGAATACGTTGATCTGTCGTCACGGGCGCCAGGGAATGTTGGTGCCAGGGTTGCTCAAGGAGTTCAGCTCGAGGGGTCGGCGGAGGCGACTTATCAAAGCGTTCGACGGACGATAAAGGGAGTCAAGATAGCACAGTGGCGCATCTTCTCTCCCTAACGAGGGGAGCGTGGGGGATGATCACCCCCTCGTTTGTTGCACACCCCTGTTGCCTGGAGGGGATTTTTCGAAATTACTCGGGAAACCACCTGTCCGCAGAGAGGGAAGACCGTTCAGTCGGTCTCCCTGATCTGGTATACCTGGTTATTCTTGCCAAACACCAGGTTCCAGACCACATGTGAGGGTGATACCGGGGGTTTTACACGGTAGGCCTGCTGTAGATAGGGGATCTTTAACCTCCGCAGCAGGAGAGCCCGGGTTCAGTCGGCCTTTCATCAAGGTCGACGGCCTGTTAAGGTCAGTTCCCCTCGGTACAAAAAAAAAAGGGTTTGCCACCTTGGAAAAGTATTATTTTCAAAGCAGTCATAGGAAAAATGAAAATATGACTTAGAATGTGGATTTCATCACGGTGGAACCTACGTGGAGATAACTAAGGCACAAATAGAGCTTTAAAAAACCCTGGTTGGCTGTATCATTGATACAGCCATATTTTATGCGTGGATACGTCTACGTATGAATGGATATATGAGTAATTGATAAAAAAAAAAAATACTAATTATTAATGTTTTAAATAGAGTTTATTGAGTATAGGTCGATGATATGAAAAATATGAAACGTAACGAAATTGGTTAACATTTAAATTACATGTAAAAGTTTAATCTAAATATGTATTGCCCAGAGTTGTGGGTTGAGACTGGCAACAATCGAAATTTAATTCTTTTTTTAGAAAATTAAGTAATGATGAATTTTCATATATGTCGGAGTTAAAAAAATAAATAAACAAATTGAAGACACTAAACACTAAATAAATAAATATTCGTTGCGTTCATTTGTTGAATGAAAAAGTATTCACTAGCGCCAACAGATGGCGTTAGTGCATATACTCCTGCTGACAGAATGCCCCTCCCCCTGCAGAGCAAGCATAGTTCACTTATACGCCAATAGATGGCGTTAGTGCATATACTCCTGCTCACAGAATGACCCCCTGTAGAACGAAAACATAGACGTATCCACGTCAATAAATATCGGTACAAAATTTATAAAAAATCGAAATCGCGGCGGTTGGCAACTGCAAGGGATGGCTGTCCAGTGCAGGCCTCCGTTTCACCCCTCACATAGTCCGGGTCCTAGTGACTAGTAAGAAATACCCAGGGGTAATTCCTAACTAAATTCTAGATGCGAAAATGCAATGATCTCGCTGGTGATATCATGTTTGTATTCATAAACTGTCGTTAGACGATCGTGTGGCATGATATGCGTTAAATGCTGTCATATATGCATGACCGTTTGTTCGTACTAATTGATACGAATTTGCATTTCGTTCACATCAGTCAATATATTTACACGGTCGTGCATGCATGCCAATGCGTAATGCAAGTTATGGCGCATATTCATTTAGGGTCTTCTTTGATTACTTGTTCAATATTATTTTGAAGTAGTTGTTAGATTAACAAAATGTTTTATGTAGTTATCAATTAATACTAAACAACAGCATCTCTCTTTTTTTTTGCAGCGAGCAATCCAGAATCGAAAGAGTGCCCTTACTCCGGCAAATACAGTATACAAAACAACCGCCTTCAAAGGATCACGAGATCTGCAGAAAGGATACGTAGGAATAAGCGAGAGAAAACACTCTCTGAACATAATCGTAGGTTAAACAGTACTAGGATGTTCAATTTTAGCGTAAGGAACATGTCCCAAGCTCCAATACTGAGGAGTAGGAGACAAGTGGAGAACGACATGGCCTGTACGGTCAGCAGTTACAGTAGACTAGAGGTCGGTTGCAATTCAGTGAAGAATATGGAGTTCTATTCAAATTGCGAGAATAAGGAGCTGATGACAGGTGAGAAAGACTTTTCATAATTTTCGTGAAACAGTATTTTATCTAAGGTTCTCGTTCAAGCAAATTGGTCGAAAAAATTTAAAGAGTTTTGCCAACTATAGAAAAATCTGCGTGATTCAGGAAATATTCACAATACAGACGAACTTCGGTCCTTTTGCCGAATTCAAAACGTTTCTGTAAAGATATATAAATTTCTACTAGCTACCACCGCAAAAATAGTGGAAACTACCTCAAAATCTGATAAAAATATTGTATTCATAAATATTTAGATATTTCTAGTAAATTAAATCCCATTGTTTTTGATTGATTATTGTGATGAAAAAATACTGAAGTTCGTGATCTAGGATTGACTCTTGACTCTAAGCTGACTTTAATGCCGCATATTTATTAAATACTTAAAAAAGCATTTAAACAACACGGTTTCACACTTCATGTTAGTAAAATCATTTAAAAATTCGCTCATTTACAAGTTATTGTATAATGCATACATTCGAAGTCACTTACAATCTCACTTACAATAGAAAGAGTCCAGCATTTATTAAAGCTTTAGTTTTTTGTACCGGTCGAACTTATGTTTATCAATTGATTAAAATCTTGTCGATGCCCCTGCACTTATACATATAAAATTACATTTCGTATTCCCCGACCATGGAAAGGTTCTTCTCTCATATCCGATCGCTAAGACCTGCTGTAGAAATAATACATTTATTAGTAGATCCTGTAAAACGTACGACCAAAATTTGTGTGATGTTGTTGACATCTTTTGCTCGAACTTCAATCACTGCAAATGTCATAGGTCTCATGAAATGTTTGTTATATAACTGTTTGTTCCTTAACAATAAAGAAACAAATAAGAAAAAGAATCAGCAGTGTTTTTTTAAAAAAACCGTACTAACACTGCTGGTTATTTTTAAATCAATGCACATAGTATAGAACAATGGCTGGTATCTATTAATAGAAATACAAATATAGTATTATAAAATATGTAATAAAAGTCGTAGAATGTCGATCATGCTATTCTGAATTATGATAAACCATTTTACCTGGACATTAATGATCGTTTTAATCGATATGGCTAAATTTTGTTTACTTCGTATTAAAATAAATGCAATTATTATTTTTGATAAATTTTGCATTCACAATACTATAATGAAAAATGCTTAAAAAATGCCAGGCACAGAGTGGATGTTTTAAGCATTTTTCATTAAGAGTATAAATATAATTTTAATTTTTTTACAAATTTATTAATAGACATATACTTTATTTGGTATATATACCAAAAGGAAAAAATGTGCAGTGTTCAAAAAAATAACCCTGTATAAAGTAACCGTTAGTGTTGTACGATCATCGGCATGGCGGTGTGACGTATACGTGACGTTTGCGCAGCGTACACGTGCCACGGCGGTTGGTACGAGAACGGCGTCTCGTTCGTGGTGACGACGCCGGTGACGCGCGACAGCACGGCCGCGCGCCGCTACTGCTTCGTGTCGCGCGAGACGCTCGGCGCCGCGCTCAGCGTCGCGCGCTCCTCCGACAACTGCGAGCGCGCGCCGCAGCCCGACCACGCGCTACTCTTCGCCGCCACCGCCACCGGTGACTGTCTATATATCTATACAAACCTTTTGTCTACACCCAATTGCCAGTTTTCTCCGTTCGAGAGACTGCAGTCTGGGGGCCAATTCTACTAAATAAATTTTGTTTAAATCGAATCGAAACCGAACGAAACTACAGTTTTTAATGGTTGTTCTATTCTACTAAATGACATACGATACAATTCCATCTAAAATGGCACTGGAACTGTATCGTATGTCACTTAGTAGAATAGGAAAACCATTAAAAACTATATATTAAACAAAATTTATTTAGTAGAATTGGCCCCCTGTTCTCTAAAATGAAACGCTACAATTTATACAGTGCTATTGAACAAGGTATAGCGTCAAAGTAAATTGAACTTTAAAATTGCAATTTTAATTTCAGTCCAAATTCATATACAGAGGTTAATCTTTACTGTCTCTGTTTATTAATATGATTTTGATTAATATTAAGTGCAGAATCAACGTAAATTAACTTAAACTAACGGCCTGTTTCTGAATTGAGAAAAAGCACAAAATCTGATTATTCTCAATAACTTAAGTTTTTTACATTTCATGTGGCAAAAAGTCCTAGTTTTATCAAATTGCTATCAACTGAACATTAAAAAAATTTAAATCAGTAATGAAAACGTGTTTAATTGATGTTTAAAATGGCTTAAGCACGGTTTGAGAGGTGCTCAAATTCAAATTCTCAATTCAGAAACCGGGTGTAAGTGTACAAAAATGCTTTACGCTTACCTGCCAAACAAGCAACGAACGACTCCCCTCTATCTCTCGGATCTATATAGTGGATGAACTCTTAGTATACTTGATATATCTACTAAGCCTTATACTACTTCGGATTGAAACCCGAAAACTGTGGTCGAGACACTCGTCTCTCCTTATGGAACGCTTGGTCCCTTGGTCTTCTTGTTCTTGGTTCAATACAGGGGAGGCAAAATAATAAAGCATTAATAAAAATGACCGCTATTCTTGGCTACTTCTGCAGTACGTTCATTACAAGTACATAGTCTCTATCCCCGATAACATTTAATATAATATGTGAATAGTTCTGGGCAAGTTTGTTCCACCATAGAACTCATTCACATCCCCAGGCTGAATCAAGATCAATAGTGAGCCCATTAAAAATAAAATAATATATCTTACTGTGTACAAGGCTCTATCTGTTTACTAACACCAGATTTCTATTTCAGGCGAGTGTCAAGATCAAACCAACGACCAGCCGGTGCTAAGGATACAGTCACCGCTAATGATATTAACTACAATCGTAACACTTAACCACATCATCCCCAGATGATTCACAGAGCACCCACCTTAGATAAACTATAGCCCTGTATAGCACTCACGTCATATACTTAGACAAGCTTACGAACAAAATGTAGACCTCTTATATTAATACTAATTTGTTTTTTATTTGTAAAGTATGTTCCGTTTTTTGTAAAATATTTTAGTTGAATAGATAAAAATGAAATATGTACACACGGACTGGCTAGGAAAATAAGTGTATCCATCGAAATTATAAATTCAAATTATAAACACTAGTGAATAATCTTAAACTGTTATGACTCTGGTTTTTACGTCCAAATATATTACTTTTTAAATAAATGGGTTAGAAAATTAACCTTCGGACTTAAAGCTCTTCAATTGGGAATAAGATAACATGTTTATTTTTAATTATCTAGATGACTATTTTTCTGGTCAGTCTTTAAAACACTATATCATAGATAGTTCCAAGTCATCTAAATTTATGCGATTTAATAAATAATTATACTCTAGTAAAATATTCTTCACGGTATAATTTATGTTCTAGCTACATTTATTTTCATATAAAATTTAGCTACTATGTTTATATTGCGGTTAAAATATTGCAATTAATTTATAGCAGACATCTTTTTTATCTCCCAAAGTATCGTTTATTGTCGTGATTTTAACCGTAACATGTACAGAGTGTTCTAAATAATGCCATTACATAGCGTTAATGCACTACCTACTCAATTTTTGTATCGCATAATTGGCTTGATTCTGTATTATATTTCATCTACCAAAAAGGCAGTTGCGTTATTCACTAAAAGGTTTTTAAAATTTAAAGTTAAATTATACAGGGTTATTTGGAAATCACCAACAATCATCTAGCTATATAGGTAACATCATAACATAAATAATACCATTTTTTCTATGGCTTTTGCTATTTCGTTACTTATTGCTTCCATATTTAAAAAAAACAATACGTCTTATTGTTTTCTCTTCTGTCAATTTGGTTTAAGGGTCAATTAGACGCCCGCCCAATGTTAACCGTACCTTAAAATAATTTTTAAACCAAGCACTTATCTTAGTATTAGTTTTTTTTATTGTGACAGTTGTTACGATAAGATGATAAAAACTTGCTTTTTTTTTATTATCCGTTTATCATGTCCATTTTTGTTTGAACATATTATGAGTATATTGAAACTCGTGGAACAAAGGTTATGTCGGCTGTCTAGTTCTACTAAGTTGTTGGTGTTTTACAAATTACCTAACCTGTATTATCCATATTGCTACGAGAACCCGCACGTTTAAAAAATAAAAGAATCAGTGACTACAAAATCAATGTATGCTAATTATGCTTCATTTATTTATATAATTAAATACATTATGTAGTTAATAGGAAATCTATACAGAATCAAGTTCATTACATCCAAAGCTTACTTATTTTCAGCGGAGAAAATTATAAACTAATTATATTAAAATGAGGAAGAGGTTTCAAATAATCACCGAAGCTATTTATAAATTTTTCAATGAGTATATTAAAGAGATTTAAAATATAATATAGCACAATTGTGTATACGCCTCAATTCACTACCATCGAAAAGCAATTCAATTAATATTTGTATTTATAATCTTTTATTATTTACTTCAATTAAAGGATTCTGAAACGATCGAAAACTAAAGACGCTACTGTAAAAAATGTAGCAAACAAACTTACGATTATTAAAAAAAAAAATCTAACATCTAAGTGTCGATGTCGGGTATAGAGCTTATGAATTACTTTCAATTAATATGAATACATCCAAACAATATACTATATGCTTGTGTCCCACAAGTAAAAATACAGGTTTTTGCTGTATGTTCGGAAAATATGATTTTAACTTATAAATATTTAAGAAAATAAATATTATGACACTAATTTGGAAAATATTTACGATTTGAAAACTTGAAAAAAGTAGGGAAAATATACTACAAAAATTATATAAGTGGCGTTAAATTAGTTACATAAAACTTTACAACTTTAATTATAACAGGTTTAAACGTAAATGCACGAATAACAAAGATATTACAAATATTGTCCAGACGCCCATACGTTTTTCGCTTTTAGCACTGTGTGACGTAACTTACAGCCAGTTGCACAAAGGTCCATTAAAGAGACGTTACCTATACAAATTTGAGATTTATAAGAGCTTATAGGCGTCATTAAACCTTAACGGACTTTGTGCAACTAACCGTTAGTGCCTTGAATTTGTAGGGCGCGATTTCGGCCGACTAGGAGCAGATCCACCGTGTCTCAGAAACGATTAATCGCAGACATGCTGTTATTTCTACATTATCACTCAGATATTAATGCGCTATTTATTTAAAGAGCCCATTTTATACAGTGGTGTTTTTATATTTAACAAATCTAATAATTAAAGTTTGATTGTTTCAAGAATCCTCAACGTTACGACTTAAGGTTTACATCGTCACAAAAAAAATATATTATTTTTCTGTGATGAGTTCGACCTTCGAGGTTGATATAGTGGACGATGGTTTATCGGTATGATGCGAATGGTTGTGATAAATGTTTATTGTTGCAACTCTTTTATATAGCAAAGTTTCGAAACTGTTTAATTAGTGAAAACCGTTATACCTAGAGTGTAGTTTGTTTTAAACTCGATAGAAATGTGTGCAAATATAAAAAAATATATATTTATAATATTTTACAGAACGTTTTGTATGAATCAAAGTAATTAGTTGAGCATCAGAATTCATGAAAAAGGAATATCATAAAATAATCCTACCACCAATGTATATATGTCGCAGCCAACTAGTAAAAATAGCCGTTTAATTAAATACCACTATTCAATTGCATGGTTAAAGGTCGATAAGCTGATTAGCCGAACACAACGTTCTTCTACAGTACGGTTACACAAAGCCACCCAAATGCTCAACTAGTTGGTTGGGGCATATCATATACAAACATATGCGTCAATGTCTAAATGACGATTTATTTACACGAAGCCATTAGTCGAGACACGTAACCAGTCCAGTAAAATTAGAAATCGTTCGGTTTTGGCTTGAGGATTGTCTCCATGTACATGAGGTCAATACTGGCCTGGCTTACTGAACTGTCTCGGCTACTAGCCTCGTACATTTTGTGTTTTTGATAATAATAAATGTCTTTTTAGTACTTTAAATATAATTTATGCCATTATTATTCGCCCCAACTATCTGGCCGCCCTAGGACCGGACCTATATGACCTTAGGGTAAATCCGCCACTGTATGTAAATTATATTATTTGGTAATAAGTACCAACAAAAATTTGAACCTGACAGAGAGAAATACTGGTACTTTAAGTTTGGTGTTCTCATCTTGGCTAGCGCTGTATTTTATTATTATAGTGATTTTTTTTATCAATTGGTTAAAAAAAACAGTGCTAATAAACTAGATTCTAATCTCAGTTTTGTTACGAAAGTTTCGAATTTTTTAATAAAAACCTAGTTATTAATTTAATTTTCACGTCGGATTATTTTTGACTTCTATTTGTAAATTTTTCATATAAACTAATCGAAGCTTAACTCGTGTACAAAATTAAAGTAACTTATAATTTTAGTAGTTAGTATAATTTAGAGATTCGAATTTATTTTATTTTAATAAACATAGAGTGAAAAAAATAGTACACAAAAATAGGTGCCTCACCATTAGTCTTCTCTGTCTGTAGTTTTTTGATAACGGTCGTGTACATTTTGGTTTTATGCACTTTTCTAATACACCGAGTAAGTTTAAATATTGTTAAAAACAGCGCCATCTAATGGTCGCTAAGGAAATCTTTGTTACGACAATTTTCATGAGATACTCGTGTATCTAATCAAGCAATACTAATATTTTTAAGGATAGATAAGATTAAATTTAGATAAGTGAAAGAATGAATACTCATTTTGAGATCAATGTATAATGTAGTTAAGATCAAAATTAGTTATTAAAATCGCAACAGCAATAATATATTTGTATTTATAGCTATTGAGCGTTAAATTTTTAATAGTTATTTAGACAGTTGTGAATAAGGGAGCTAGCGATTGTTATTTTATAATGAAACAGAGATATTACGTGGTATAATAGCACCAGCGAACATCGGGCTGTTTGTATTCGTGGATTCATCGTAAATATGTTTCCACTGTGTGATATAGGTACATTTAATTAATTAAGTACATAGTCGTCAACATTGATTACAATAAACAGCGAAAATTTACCATTGTGTTTTCATTATGCGCCTACCTGCCTGTCTTACACGATCTTTTAATTCATTGCGAGATGTTTCATTACGTGATTAGGACTTATTCCGTTTATTCACTCTGAAACAGCCATCCAAAGGTGGATACTCGGAAACGCGTGTTCATCTATCCATCCTGAACGAGGTGGAAAGATGAAGGTCACATTAGAATGTTCTTCCAATTTTTTACCCCAAATACAGTGGAATAAAATTGTCTACTACATAAAAGCTTCTATCGTGTATTTATAAAAATCACATTTTCATTAAACAATATAAATCATTTGGCTGGGTTTATACGTTTTTTTAATAACTGTACACCTGCTGGGGAGAAAATCGGAAGTAAAATTATGATGCGTCTCAGATAAATCTCAGGGTGCCAGGGACCAAGTGGATTTTTTAAGCATTTAAAGAATGGATAGGTAAACACGCGTTTCCGAGTATCCACCTTAGGATGGCTGTTTCAGGATAGATTAACGGAATAAGCCGCGATTAGGACATAAATTAACTAAGTTTATTACGAAATGAAGAATTGGAAAGTCCGGGAGAAAAGCCTGAGAATGTAGCAAAATTTATAAATTAAATAAATAGCCTTATGTGTACTTACTCGTGTATCAGAGTACCTAAATATGATAAAATGATCCCCACCGGTCTTCGATCATGGATAGAATCGAATAGGAAGAATATATCCTTGCCGGCTGTACTTTCAAGATAGTTCATATCTCCTTCCAAAGGTTGTCTGGAAAAGATCGATGTACAGTAAATAAACCGCCGATTGTGACACATGGTTTACTTATAT